GTAAAGCGGAGTGCAGCAGTAAAAGATACGCACCGTCTGCCAAAAGACTCATGCAAAAGGGCAAAACAGGCAGGTACAGAGATATACCTGTCTAATACTAGAGGACACAAGAAACACACCCACACAAGGGCCTAGACACCACTCAGCACAGCGGCTTATGAAGTAGTAAACGTACAAGGACTCTCTCCTACCAACTGCAGGTCACCTAAAGACTCATAAAGCCTGAAAGCTTGTGGGCAATGTTAAAGCCAAACTAACGAAGAATCAAGATAGGCAAGCTTTCTAAATTATAATAAATCTGCAAAAGATACTGCACCTGTTCTCTTCCAGAGCAATGACAATGTTACTGGATTATTCAGCCAATAGGGAAATATGACAAACACTGGTAAAAATGGGTGTTACAAGCGAAGGAATTTACTTTACTCGAGAAAATTGGGACCACAGTCCTATGAAAATTATGAAACAGAGGCAAAGGATAGATGGAGATGGAGGAGAAATTCGGAGAGACCATCCTCGAGAGAAATGCAAACACAATCAAGAAGGAAGATGACATACCAGGGCCCTAGGGAACCAGTACCAGGTTTAATGGGACAACAGTCGCATGTGGCACTCAAAGCGATGAGGACTATGACAATACCTGAGCAACAAAGAAAAGGAGGAACTGCTGAGGTAGCATAGGGAGAGGTCTCGGTCTCTACAAAGGCAGAGAGAGACGGAAGTCTCCAGAAAAAATAGGACTGCCTAGAATCAGAAGAACACCAAGATTTTTGATGAAAACTCTCATATTCATTACGCAAGAGCTAGGCATGCAAAACAATCAGAATAAGCCGGGCTCACCGCTCAAGGATTATATCTTAATACTTTTATAGGCAATGTTCTACTTCTACCATTTTGTTTTGTTTCTGGGATGGTTTTTTATATTTCACTTGTTCTTTTTATTTAAAAGAAGAAGAAAGGAGTTATGTAGTATATATGTTAGATGCTGTGTATGGCCTCTAGGGCATTCTCACTACTTAGATACTGGTACAACTGTGTGGTATTGCGTTCTTCTTTTTGGTTGTGTAGTTCTGAAAGCGGACATCATGTTGTATATGGGGTGTAATCATATATGAGCACCTTAATACGTAATATGTATGCTACCTAAACTATGCAGTGTAAACGTTGGAGCGTATTGAGCTGGCAGGGATTTCGACTATGTCAGCGGCTCTGCCAGGTTCTATGGTCACAGCGTGATTGTGTTGACCTGATAAGCAGGGAAACGACAAGACTTCAGATTGTATGTGGAGTTTAGAGCCCAACAAGGTAGTTTTAATTAAAAAGCACTCAACAACTACACAACTATAAACGCAGTGCTATTTACCTAAACATTGAATCACACCGGGTGGCTAGGTGTCAAGACAAACGCCAAACCATAATCCAACCCCATCATGAGTAAACAGTACAGTACTAGAGCAAGCGTACGTCACGGATCAGGCAGCGATAGTAATATTTCGAGTTTTGGCGACGGGTAGGCTACAGGGGAAGCATTAGAAGCGAGAGAATGGTCGGGGTCAAGGCCTCTCAGGTTCTTGCATGCACCGGTAGCAAGCAGCCGTTAGTAGTACAGAGGGTTTCACGGGCAGAGTAGGGTATGAGTCCCAGGGTCACCATAGTCCTCAGGGATCAGAAACATGGTATTAGCAAGCATCGTATGTGCAGTTATGAGGGTCAGGCAAGGGTGTGCTTTGAGTATGGTCAAGGGTCTCAAGCCATGGGATCAGGAGACAGGTAGCAAGACAGAATCAGCAAAACAGGATGCCATGGACAAGCTTTACAGGGCCAGTCAAACATTCACTACTTACCATAGGCCCAGGAGTCTGCAGAGTGCGGGGCTCCATCCACTTTCAAATACTCCAGTACTCATCAGTTTCCAGGTGGCTTAGATGGCTGAATAAAGTTGACGTCTACTGATTTGCTGCGGAGCTACCCGTTGGCCAGCCCTGGTCACGGGTGCAGATGCTGAAAAGGCAGCGTGTAGTCACCTCTTCAGTGCTGGCGCTAGTACCATATTCCTAGAAGTGTGACCTCCACCCCCGCGTCAAGGAGCTGGGCTCTCAAGTGTCGCTTGTCCTAAACAGTCCTAGCTGGTGGAAAATTTAAATGTTCACACCGCCCCTGGGGTGTCCTGGTAACTAGGACGGTGAGATAATCAACGAACTGCATACACCGGCGCGAGGACTGTATTCGTGGGTCAGCGTGTTAGCGGGTACCCAGACCGCGGACAGAGGCACATCTCGGCATGTGAACCCTCGTCGGGCCTGAGATCACACATCGGGTTTCGGAGCTTTCTCGAGGTCAGAGCGCACTACCAGGCAGTGGACTCTGGAGCAGTGAGGCACCGACGGGAGGCTGGGACTCCAGGCAGAGTGGCACACACGGGTGGACTTTTCCGTGGCAGAGGGCACACGTGGCCCTGGATCCTTCCAGGGCGGCAGTGAGCTACATCGGGCTGGATGGGACTTCGGGCAGAGTGCACTAACCACGGGCAGAGTGGCACTTCACCTACGGGCTGGACATCCCGTGGCAGAGGCCACTATCGGGTGGCAGACTCCGAGGGAGTCAAGAGATGAGCACATCGGGGCAGGACTTATCCGGGCAGAGGCATCCAATCGTGGTCACGGAACACCCGGTGCAGCATGAGGGCAACACTTCGGGTCTACACAGCGCGAATCTCGAAGCTAGGGCAAGCGCGGCCCACCAGGGCCGATAGCGGGCATGGCAACGTGGCCCTCCCCGGGCGATGGTGCCGACTGGGCACTCGGTTGGCCCCCCGGCGGAGTGTGGGACAGTGGCATCGGGCCCACCGGGTAGCGAGAGGCCGACAGGCCTCGGAGCGCCACACGTGGTCGGGGCGAGCGATGGCATCGTGTTGCACCCCGGGTCGGACACCGGCCGTGGCGACAGAATCTGGACGACCCCGCGGCGGATGAAGACTACAGTCTCGAGCGCCCTCAGGGCGAGAGTCCAGTGTTGCCGGTGCACTCGGGCCGGAGCCCCTCAGGTGCTGAGTTTGGAGCGACCTCAGGCCTTCGGAGCCACCACTCCATGGCGGGGATACTCGACGAGGCCATCATGGACCCCCAGCGGGCGACATGGCCATCGGGCCCCCAGGCTGGACTGCGCGAGAAGAGGCATGCTGGGCTCCTTATGAAGCGGTAGGCGCGAGGCGGGTGCGCTGGACCACAAGGCGGAAACCTACAGGCCCTCGGGCCCTCAGGACGGGAGAGCTTGGCGCTGCGGCGCCGGTAACACGCCGGTGTGGAGCGGACATGGTCTCGTGACACGCTCAGGCGGCAAAACGAGTGCGAGGTCGCCGCGACCCCACCAAGGCTGGATATTATTTTGCCAAGCGAATCAGGCCTATCCGCGGCCCGCCAGGCGGCGGGCGGACAGGTATCAGGGCAGCCCACTGCGCGGTGGCGACACGGCATACTCTGGCAATACCAAGGCGGTAGCGCGCTGGGCTGCCGGACCCACTCTAGGGCGGGTGGTAATTATCAGGGTAGAGGGCCGCTCGTCAGAGGCGGCATCTGCGTGCTTGGTAGCGCATGGACACCCAGTGGGTATGGAGCTGACAGGTCTCCGGGCCCGCAGGTCTGAGTAGCGGTTTAGGGCGCGCGGACCCCCAGCGTGGAGCGGGACAGGTCTGCTGGCCCACTCAGGTCGGTAAAATTTTAGCAGTAGCTCTAGCGACTAGGTCTTTCGGGCCTTCCCATGGCGGATTCAAGCCTTTTGGCGGTGCGCCATGTGGAACTCCCAGTTGGAACCGCAGGACAGGTCTGCGGCGCCACTCCAGGCGGAGGTCGGCGGGCGCGGTGACCCCCCAGGTTGAGCGAGCGATATCAGAGTTATGGGCCACGCAGGCGGTTAGCGGGCTCGGGCTGCCGGGTAACCCGCAGCAAGTTGTGGTTTGGGAACGCGAACAGAGGTCTCGGGCCCTCAGGCGTGATTTCTTAGACTGGCGGGCGACCGGTCCCACCTTGGCGGACTCCAGAGCGAAAAGTGTCTCGCGGCACCCCCAGGCGGTTATAGCAATGGGCCTGGAGGGCAGAGTGATTGTAAACCAGGCACCCGATCAGGTGCATGGCTCGACGTTAGGATCGAAGCTGCGTGCTCTGGAACGCTGTATATTTTGTAGTCCGCTGGCACTAGGGTCAGATGCAATCTAGTGACTCAGGTCTGGTTCCTGGGAGCATGGCGGGCAAGTCGGGTGTCATCACAGCGACATCAGGTTCATTTGGCTTGGCTGCGACCAGTGCGGGCCCACCGTGTCAATATTGGGCAATAGGTCGTAGTGGTATCCGAGAGTCAAACTGGTGATGAATTGGACTGGCGTGGGCTTATTCTGGAGTAACAGACATTTGGATTCGTACTTCATCTGATACCAAATTAGCGTGCTTTTCGGGGGCCACCAGGTTAGCATAGGTACATTTGGCTTCGCGATCTACCGAGTGCACGCGTTACGTAGCATCTGGCAAGGCAGTCGAGTGTCTTTCCGAGTCAACTGGGTATGACCAGCCGCGGGCACTGAGGTCAGACATTGGATGCGTCTGACCTGGACAGCTGGCATCGTTCACCGGGGCAATCGGTCATTTTGTGGTCGCACCGCGGGCACCGGTCACTCAGCAGTGGGCAGTCACTTTGACCCGCGGGCACTGGGTGACATCAGATCGCCGATGCCACCGCGGGTTAATCTGGTCACAAGGCATGCAGTCCATTTTGCTTGACAGCGAGCACCTGCGTCAAACTGGCAAGGCAGTGGTTTTGACAAAACTGCCGGGCCAATGACCCGCGGGCCTGGGGCAGGCATTGAATCGTCCCTGGCTGGATCAGCGCGGCAGTCGGGGTCACCAGCATCAGTGTGGTTCATTTGGCAGTCTGGACATCAGCGGGCACCTGCGTCATCTCGGCAACGGCAGTGGGCTCCGATGCTAGTCAACAGGCACGACAGTGTGGCAGGACCGAGTCAATCAGGTACCGGATTGTCCTGGCTCGACAGCAGGGCATCGGGTCAGCCGAGGTATGACAGCGGGCACTGGGGTGTCACCAGGCATCTAGGTCATTTGGCTTGCCAAGCGGGCACCGCGTCATCTGGCAATCGGCAAGTGGGCACCCAGGGTCACCAGGCATTGGATCGTCTGGCTCGACAGCGGGCATCGGCGTCACCAGGTATGACAGCGGGCACTGGGTCACCAGGACATAAGGTCATTTGGCTCAGGCAACAGGCGGGCACCGCGTCATCTGGCAAGGCACGTGTTTTATGGCGATGGCAACCGAGTCACCATTGGTACGACAGCGGCTCTGAGGGGTCCAATTGGCACGGACAGCGGGCACCGGATCAGGTAGTACCGGATCATAATGGATCCAACAGGGGCATACCATCGAGTCAACTGGCCTAACAGGATCGTCAGGCTGGATCAGTTCATTCATGCTGGGTAAGAGGCATCAGGCTGAATGGTCCAGCGGCGTCCAGGCTGAGGTAGGAGGCTTCAGGCGTTCGTACGATTAGGTAGAGGCTTCTTAGGCCGAGTTAGAGGCTCTCAGGCCGAGTTAGAGGCATCAGGTCCGAGTAGAGGCATCCCAGGCCGAGTAGAGGCTTCAAGGCCGAGTAGAGGCTTCAGGCCCGATGTAGAGGCATTTCAGGCCGAGTATAGAATGCTTCAGGCCGAGTAGAGAGCATCAGGCCGAGTAAGATCAGGCGAGTTGAGCTTCAGGTGCCGCGAAGAGCTTAAGAGGCGAGTAGGAGGATCAGGACGAGTGATGTCATCAGGCCGATACAGGCATTCAGGCTGAAGAGAGGCATCAGGCTGCGTACCGAGGCATCTAACGGATGAGAGAGGCATCAGGCCGAGCATATAGTAGAGGCTTCAGGGCTGAGTAGAGGCTTCAGGCTGAGTAGAGAGGCTTCAGGCAGAGTAGAGGCTTTCAGGCTGAACCACGGAAGGCAGGGCTCACCGGTTTGGATACTGGCAGGAATGGTATTGGTTGGAAAGAATTTTCGTTTTTTTTTTTCTGGTTTTAACTACTGGAGCACTGCAAGTAAACGCAGGTCTGCAAACGAATGGCAGCAGCTGGAGACAGAGAAGAGCTGGAGGATGGAACAGGAGAGGGGAGCAGATGCTACAGAGAGGCTTTTTTACAGGGTTAAAGCAGGATAGGTGCAGCGAGTGGGGCTAACAGGTACTTGACATGCGGGTAGATAGCCAAGTATATTACTTGGGCTGTAAACTGGAGGAAGCTGTTGGGAATACAGGAGTAGAGTTAGAAGCAGGACTGGGTTTTTGTGTAGAGCTGATGAAGGCTAGGTGCAACAAGTCTGTCCAATGTCTGCAGTATGGGTTGAACAAAGCTGAGCTTACACAGAAGCCTGTCTGGTCAATGACTGCACTGCGTTTATACAATCTCTTAGTGTCTGTGGTGGTGAACATGTGGAATAACGCTCCAGAAAGTAACCCCACATCATCCTCTAATAACCACACCAGGGACTCTACCTGGTCTGCACTTATAAATGGTGGCAAAAAATTAATATAAAAAAAAATTCATCCCTGCAATTTCGGGGGAACCAGATGAAACCAACTCTGCACAAACTCACAATCAAAGTAAGGCTGCACCTCAGAGAACTCTGTGCCCTGATCTACTAAGAACATGAGCGAGCTGTGATACATTTCTAGCAGTTCAGTCCCAGGGTAATACTCCTTCAGAGTTTTGATAAGCATACTCCCTGTCATCAAACACTAGGCAGAGATGCAAATAACACAACCTATCCAGATCCATCCTTCCATCAACAAGCCAAGATGGCTTCCCTGGTGCAAGCCATTTTCGTTGGTCAGGATTGGCCTTGGTGTATGTCATGGGTCTCCCCAGGTTGACCAGAGGTGTGTGGCTCTGAAGAGGAGGGGATAACGCAGACTTCGAGATTATAGTGTGATGTGCAGTGACAATGTAATTTATTATACACAAATGTACATGTAGTTATAGAACTAACAATACAAGAAAAAAGCAGTTTGCAATACTAAAAACATAATAACAGTGCAAACAAACCCAACCAACCACCCACAGATAACAGTACATCACGCTTTAGCTACATACAGCAAGCGTTTCTTCACGGCAGGCCGAGTCAATATCAGGTTGGGCAGGTAGGTACAGGGGAGAGCAAGCCGGAAATGGTCGGGGTCAACTCAGGCCAGGTTCAGCGCAGGTATGTAGCATAATGCTGAGCGTGAGTATCATGAGGGTCAGGCAGGAGGGATGGATGTGTCTAATTTGGTCAGGACAGTGCACGCAGAAGCCAGGATCAAACACGGTAGTCAAGCAGCGTAGTGCAGAGGGTCATGGCAGTAGGCAGATTGGATATGGTCCAGGGTCACAAGCCAGGGATCAGAACTAGGTCAGCCAAAGGAACAGAGAACATGGATGCAGGACAGATACAGGGTCCCGCCAGGACGAAACACATACTACACCAAGGCGCAGAGTCTGCAAGTCTCTGGCCAATCCCTTAAATGTACTCCAGTTATCCATCAGTGTTACAGGTGTTTAGCTGGCTGCAAGGTTTCTTGAGGTGCCTCATTGATTGCTGGGAAAGCACCCGCTGGCCAGACCATGGTACTACTCTGCAGATCAAAAGGCATTCAAGGTGAGTCCCAACCATATGCTGGCCAGTCCATTCCCTGACAGACTATACGAGAACACCGCCGTTAGTGAACCACCATCTATAAGATATATTTTGTTTTTTCATCAGTTCTAGCAGTGGTTTTAGTAATCTTCTCCCTCCATAAAGTTTCAGGCGATAAATCCGCAAAGATCTGTATGTCCATTTCTCCATACTTTTATCATTGATCTTCCCTTAATCTTTCTCCAAATGTCCTCTTTATCTCCAAAGTTCTGAAATTGAGCAATTACATCTCTTTTACTATTTCCTTGTTGGAGTTTTCCTGTTCTAAAAAACTCCAAATTAACCACCTCTGTTTTCAGTTCTGTCCATTATGGAGTTTAAACATTTTAATGATTAAGTCTCTAGTTCTCCTCCTTTAAGAGCCTCCGAAACCCCTCTTATCCTAAGATTTTTCCTCCTATCCTTATTTTCTTGAACTTCTATTTTATAAGACGGTTTCTTTAATTGTTTTCTAATATCTGTTGAGCATTTTTTTAAATCCGCAATATGCTGGGAGTGATTTTTAACTTTTTCCTCTGTTTCTTCCACCCTTGACAATAATTGCCCCAAGTCATTCCGAATGATTGCCATTTCTTGCTTTATAGTTTTTTCTAAGTTCTTAAACATATTTTCCATCTCTTTCTTATTTGGTACTTGTAGATCATTGTCAAGGTCTCTAATCTCCAAAATTTTCTGCAGATTGTTGATTACCATTTTTCAATTTCTTGGATAGTTTGGGGCTACTTTCCATGCTTAATTCCAGTTCACTTTTATCCCAAACTCCTTGTGCTCTTTCTGGGGTCCCATTTCCTTTGGACGTATATTTTTTTATCGACCCAGTTTGAGACCCTTTTAGGCCACTATTTTTAACACTTTTATTCTTCATTTCTTCCTTACTTCTATTTTTTCACTATGGGAATCCTTAAAAAATTATACTTCTTATCAATGGGACCTTTCCTTCACAAATCCTCCCCAACAGCCAGACAGTCACTATTAGTTATTTTCCTCAATTCAAACCGCTTTCACTCATCCTCCACTTCTTCTCCTCGAGTAAGACGGTTGTAAGTTACAGGCTTCAGATCTCTTCAAAGAATAGATGCTCCCTCTCCATTTCTTCTCCACTTCTCCATTTTCCCCATAGATGTCTCCTCCAAACAGCATCTTCATTCCTCTGGGGTCTGGGTCTCCACATCGACTAAGGAGAGGGAGAGGGGGAGGGAGCGAGCCGGCGTCTCTTTTCCTCCACGAAACGCCGGCCGGCTTTCCCCTACCCAGTACTCCTCCACGGCTGGTCACGTGACCGCACCGCGCCCTCCCATCTCCACCCCCGGACCACACCAGGCCCCCAAGACCTCCGGACTCGGGCCACTGGAGCACCCCCATGCCGCGATCCAAAGCCCCTCCGCCGCTGCCGCCATCCTCCGAGGTCCACCACACTAGGTAGGTACCCTGGGCATTTTCTCATCCAGCTTTGGGGGAGTCTAGGCAGCAGAGAGGCAGCCGGAGAGCTCACATACCGTGCCCTCCTAAGCCGCCATGGTCAGGCTCCCATACTGATTTTTTTCATGTGAACAAAAAAGTGTCAGAAAAAGCTTGGTCTTCAGGTGGTTAGATGAGTGAATGATGTGTAGCATAAACTGCTCCCATCCCCAAAATGACCCCTTTTTAAAAAGTAGACACCCTAAACTTGCTGAGAGGCATGTTGAGTCAATAGAAGAATTTATTTTTTTGCCACAAGTTTATGGAAAATGACAAGAAAATTTTTTTTTTTTTGTTACACAGAATTGGCACTTAAATGATTTACTGCTCCCACATGTCATGGGTATATGTGGAAATACTCCCCAAAATACATTCTGCTACTTCTCCCAAGTATAGGGTACCATGTGTGAGAGACTTTATGGCAGTGTAGCCAAGTACAGGACCCCAAAATCCAATAAGCACCTTCAGGCTTTTAAAGGGCTTTATTTCCTCATCTCTTCCTGACTACCTATCACAGTTTCGGATGCCCTGAAGAATGAAAACAAAAACCATGTTTTCTTTTCTTTTTTTATATTTCAAAACCTTGTGAGAAATAATGAGATCTGCAAAATACTCATCATGCCTCTTTTTAAATTCCCTGGGGTGTCTACTTTCCAAAAAGGGGTCACTGACTGGGGGGGGGGGGGGGGAGTTGGTGCTATCCTGGTATTTCAGGGCCTTCAAACCTGTGACAGGTAGTGAGGAAGTGAAATGAGGAAGTTACGTACCTTCAGGCTTTCAAAGTGGTCATTGGATTTCAGGCTCCTGTACAGTGGGGATCGAAAGTTTGGGCACCCCAGCTAAAAATTTGTATTAATGTGCATAAAGAAGCCAAGGAAAGATGGAAAAATCTCCAAAAAGCATCAAATTACAGATTAGACATTCTTATAATATGTCAACAAAAGTTAGATTTTATTTCCATCATTTACACTTTCAAAATAACAGAAAACAAAAAAAATGGCGTCTGCAAAAGTTTGGGCACCCTGCAGAATTTATAGCATGCACTGCCCCCTTTGCCAAGCTGAGACCTGCCAGTGTCATGGATTGTTCTCAATCATGGTCTGGGAAGACCGGGTGATGTCAATCTCAAAGTTTTAAAATGCCCAGACTCATCTGACCTTGCCCCAACAATCAGCACCATGGGTTCTTCTAAGCAGTTGTCTAGAAAAACTGAAACTGAAAATAGTTGACGCTCACAAAGCTGGAGAAGGCTATAAGAAGATAGCAAAGCATTTTCAGATGTCAATATCCTCTGTTCGGGAATGTAATTAAGAAATGGCAGTCATCAGGAACAGTGGAAGTTAAAGCAAGATCTGGAAGACCAAGAAAAATATCAGACAGAACAGCTCGCAGGATTGTGAGAAAAACAATTCAAAACCCACATTTGACTGCACGATCCCTCCAGAAAGATCTGGCAGACACTGGAGTTGTGGTACACTATTCCACTATAAAGAGATACTTGTACAAATATGGTCTTCATGGAAGAGTCATCAGAAGAAAACCTCTTCTACGTCCTCACCACAAAAAATCATCGTTTGAACTTTGCAAATGAACATATAGACAAGCCTGATGCATTTTGGAAACAAGTTCTGTGGACCGATGAGTTTAAAATTGAACTTTTGGCCGGAATGAGCAAAGGTACGTTTGGAGAAGAAGGGGCACAGAATTTAATGAAAAGAACTTCTGTCCAACTGTTAAGCATGGGGTTGGATCAATCATGCTTTGGGGTTGTGTTGCGGCCAGTGGCACAGGGAACATCTCACGAGTAGAAGGAAAAATGGATTCAATAAAATTTCAGCAAATTTTGGATGGTAACTTGATGCCATCTGTGAAAAAGCTGAAGTTAAAGAGAGGAAGGCTTCTACAAATGGATAATTATCCTAAAAACACACCTCAAAATCCACGGGGGATTACATCAAGAGGCGTAAACTGAAGGTTTTTGCCATGGCCTTCACAATCTCCTGACCTCAACATAATTGAAAATCTATGGATAGACCTTAAAAGAGCAGTGCTTGACAGACAGCCCAGAAAATCTCAAAGAACTGGAAGACTTTTGTAAGGAAGAATGGGCAAAGATACCTCAAACAAGAATTGAAAGACTCTTGGCTGGCTACAAAAAGCGTTTACAAGCTGTGATACTTGCCAAAGGGGGCATTACAAGATATTAACTCTGCAGGGTGCCCAAACTTTTGCAGACGCCATTTTTTTTTTGTTTTCTGTTATTTTTGAAAGTGTAAATGATGGAAATAAAATTTAACTTTTGTTGACATATTATAAGAATGTCTAATCTGTAATTTGATGCCTTTTGGAGATTTTTTCCATCTTTCCTTGGCTTCTTTATGCACATTAATACAAATTTTTAGCTGGGGTGCCCAAACTTTCGATCCCCACTGTATGTGGCTATGCTCACACATGTGATATCCCCATACTCGGTAGAAGTAGCAGAATGTATTTTGTGGTGTAATTCCACATATACCTGTGGCTTGTGTGAGAAATATATAATTTAAATTACAGCTTTGTGTAAAAAAAAAAAAAAAAAATGTTTTCGTCATTTTCCAAAAACTGGAAAATAAATCTTCCATAGACTCAAGAAGCCTCTCAGCAGATAGCATAGGGTGTCTACTTTCCTAAAAAGGGTAATTTGGGGGTATTTGTGCTGTCCTGGTACTTTAGCACCTCAAGAAATGTGATGGGCAGTCAGAAAGTAAAAGCTGTGTAAATTTCATTATTTATACCATAGTTTGTAGATGCTATAACTTTCATACAAAGTAATCAATGTACACTTATTGGGATTTTTGTTAACCAAAAACATGTAAAATACATTTTGGTCTAAATTTATGACGAAATTTGAGGTTTTTTTTTTGGATATTTTTTATAACAGAAATAAGAAAAATATCGGGTTTTTTTTCAAAAATTTTATTTTTGCAAACATTTTTTTGTTTATAGCGCCAAAAATAAAAAGTGCATAGGTGATCAAATACCACCGAAAGAAAGCTCTATTTGTGGGAAAAAAAGGACGTAAATTTCATTTATGTACCATATTGCATGACTGCACAATTGTCAGTTAAACTAGTGCAGCCCTGTATAGCAAAAAAAGGCGTAAATTGCAGTATGTATACCATAGTTTGTAGACGACATAACTTTCACACAAAGCAATCAATATACACTTATTTTGGATTTTTTTTTACAAAAAACCTGTAGCAGAATACATTTTTGGAATACAGAATACATTTTGGCCTAAATTTATGACTAACTTTGAGTTTACTATATATTTTTTATAGCCGAAAGTAAAAAAATATTGTTTTTCTTCAAAATTTTCAGTCTATTTTGTTTATAGTGCAAAAAATAAAAAGCGCACAGGTGATCAAATACTACTACTGAAAGGGGGGGGGGGGGGGGGGGGGGGGGGGAAAGAAAGTTTTTGTTCTATTTGTGTGAAAAAAGGACGTAAATTTAGTTTGGGTACAGCATTGCATGACCCGCTTCAGTTATCAGTTGAATTAGTGCAGCGCTGAATAGCAAAAAGAGGCCTGGTCATTAAGGGGGGTAAATCCTTGGTTAAAAATGAAGTGACTATACTGTTTAACCACACTAGCCTACAGGACACTTATTATACCCCCCTTCCTGCCCAGGCCAATTTCCAGCTCTCAGCATTGTCATACTTTGAATGGGACAATTGCGCGGGTTGATGCAAACACTGTACCCCATATGAAATTTTTATCATTTTTTTGTGACAGAGCTTTATTTGGTGTTATTTAATCACCTCTGGGTTTTTTTTATTTTTTTTCCTTAAAGAAACCAAAAACCACTGAAAATTTTGAAAACAAAAAAGTTTTTTCTTAGTTTTTGTTATAAAATTTTGTAAATAAGTGATTTTTCTCCTTCACTGATGTACACTAATGAGGCTGTAGTGATGGGCACTGATAAGATGCACTGATGGAAACTGATAGGTGAGTGGAACTGATGGCACTGATGAGAAAGGAACTGGTAGGTGGCACTGATATGGCATTGACAGGCATCACTGATGGGCACTGAAAGGCAGCACTGATATATAGCACTGATAGGCGGCACTGACTAGCACTGTTAGGTGGCACTGACTGGCACTGATAGGCGGCACTGACTGGCACTGCGATAGGCAACACTGACTGGCACTGATAAGTGGCACTGACTGGCACTGATAGGTGGCACTGATTGGCAGCACTGATAGGTGGCACTGATTGGCATTGATAGGTGGCACTGATGGGTGACACTGAAGAGCAGCTCAGATGGGCACTGATTTGTGGCATTGATGAATTGCACTGGTATGCACTGATATGTGGCACTGATGGGCACTGGCACGTGGCACTGTTCAGCTGGCATCTGATGGACTCTGACAGGTGGCACTTCTCGGGCCACACTGATCATCAGGGCACACTGATCATCAGTGCCCTGATGATCAGTTGTACATGTCCACTCCACAGAAAGCCGATTATACCGGCTCTCCTCTCCTCACGACATGTCGATCAGCGTGACAGCTTGAGAGGCGAGAAATGCCAATAACCGGCATTTCCCGTGTTTACATGTGATCAGATTGGACACAGCTGATCACATGACCGAGCCGACATCTTCGGCTCTTTCCGTGATCGGTGAACCCCTGTGTCCGAGGGACACAGAGCACCGCCGATCGCCACGTGCTCCCTGAGCCGCGCATGCGCGGTGAGAATGGTGGTAGGACGTCATTATGACGTCCTATCAGAACGAGAGAACCACCTTGCGCCCGTTCATTAGACTATATGGCAGGCGGGAGGTGGTTAAAATCCAGTAATACACTGTCTCGCCCTTACTCTGCGCATGCTCAGTTGGTGTCTATTCTTCGACACTGTCAGGGATTCCGGGTGTGACCTAAGAAAAGTGTGGACTGACACAAGGAAGTAACAGGCTTCAGGAATGATATAAAACAATATAATTTATTATTAGCCACCCAAAATATATAAAACGCACAGTAAAACACACCAACCTTCCACTAATATTAGTATGGTGCAGGAAACACAGGCGTTTAGTCAGGGCTGGAGAGGTGGAATGGTCAGGCGGCAGCCGGCCGTATGGTTAGCAACCGTCTGGTGGTACCTCTAGCAGTCCTCAGGACAGGATTCCCCAGGGCGCGGAGTCTAAGTCCCAGTCTGCTTATTCACCAGGGCCCCTGATGGTGGGGATAGACTTTGGAGCAGGACAGGAACCAGGTCGTGGCCCCTGAGTACACCTGATGGTCGTGGTTAGAGGGTACCGCCAGAGGTATATGCAGGTAAGAGAGCCTGATGTGAAGAGGCAGAAGGTGTGAGCCGGGGATGGCTGGATCCGTGCAGGAAGGATGGGATGGGATGGCAGAGTAATTAGCGTGGTCAGACAGGCCGGGTCGGTAACAGCGGGTCAGCGTGATTAGGCATTGTGGTACTAGGCAGCAGTTCAGAAGAGTAGTCGAGTCACTCGCCAGGGTCATGGTAACCAGGAGTTCAGATCAGATTAGGGATGTCCAGGAGAGGTAGTCAAACGAGCCAGGGATCAAGCAGGAGAAGTCAGCAGAGGTCAGGATCAGGCAGGGGTCGGCAACAAATCAGATAGTGCAGAACAGGAACACAGGATACAAGGTTTACAGGGGCTCATGGGGAAACATAGCAATGTACACCAAGGCACTGATCACCCCCAGGCTTGGTCCTTGTTTAAATACACCTCCTGCAATCAGCCTCAGGTGATGGCCTGATTGCAGGAGTGAGATTCTGGCTGCTGAGAGCACCTGCTGGCCAGCCTTGGTAGCGCTGCAGCCCACAAGGCAGGTGAGTCCCCCACCATGGCAAGTCATTCCTGACCGACACTGTGCAACATTTGTAGAGGCCTGTGACGGAAGCATAGGCAGGACAGACAGAACACACAAAGAGGATGGAGAACACACAAAGCTTTATTGAAACAAACAAAATTACAGTCACTCAATAGGGAAATGGCAGGAAGGGTGATCTGTACGCAAACTAGGGACGAGTCCTTGGCATGAGGTGGTCTGGCCAATAGGGGGGTGACAGCGAGGAGGGGCTAAGATACTTTTAGTTCAGCAGCAAGGGCAAAGAAAGAATCTCTGTGGCGGATGGGTAATTCCCACAAGGGGCAAGGGTCATCACAGGAACAGTTTGGGTAAAACGGGGGATCGACCCGGAAGCAGTTCAGGTAAAACAGGAGAAAACATGTGCCCACAGATCCAACAGGGTGTCTGGTCCCCCAGGGATAAGAAAGTAAGACACAGATACCTGTTGGAGGTCCGGGACAGGCGAGGGGTCTCAGGCAGGTTGGCTTGTGCGGTTCTGCTCCCCCTTTGGACTGGGGTCTTCGGCGACACACAGGCGATCCACCCCCTGGACTGGGGTCTCGGGCAGCAGGCAGGCGATCCTACCCCTAGGACTGGGGTCTCGGGCAAACAGGCAGGCGTGGATCTCTCCCCCCTAGGCTTGGGGGGGTCCCAGGTAGAGCCTGGTCACAAGGGTCCCGCCAAGGGCTCCCTCCGTTGATGCCTCAGCGGCGGGGTCTTGGGCTATGGCCCCTCCGTGGACTCTGCACAGCGGTAAACCGGGTGTCTTTTGGACTGGGGTCTCAACAGGCGCGGCAACCTAACCCCAGGACTGGGGTCTCCGGGTAACAGAAGCAGCAACCTGCTCCTTGACTGGGGTCCTCGTTGCAACAGCGGGCTAACCTACCCCTGGACTGGGGTCTTTAACAACAAACATGCGCAAGGCGTTCATAGCACGAGGGTCCTTGCCTCAGCTAGGGCTCCCCTCCGTGACTGCACAGTGGACTTGAGGGCCGTGTGGGCAAAAGTGTTGGGAAACCTACCCCTGGACTGGGGGTCTCGGCAACAGGCGGGCAAAACTCTACCCCTGCGACTGTGGGTCTATCGGCAACAACAGGCGGGCAACCTATACCCCTGAGTACTGGGGGTCTCAGGCAACCATGTTAGCAAGTGTTCGTCACGAGGGTCCTGCCTCAGCTGGGCTCCCCTCTGTTGACTGTGCACAGCGTTACTCATGCGGACTTCAGGGCCTCGTGCAACTGGCAGGCAACCTACCCCTGACTGGGTCTCGGGCAACCAGGCGTTCAACTCTACCCCTGGACAGGGGTCCTCGGGCAACAGGCGGCAACCTACCCCCTGGACTGGGGTCTTGGGCAACAGGCGTGAAAACCTACCCCATGGAGTGGGGTCTCGTGGCAACAGGCGGCAACCCACCCCTGGACTGGGGTCTCAGATTGCAACAGGAAGCAACCTTACCCCTATAGCAGTTTCCCCTTGGCTGGAGGTTTTCAGGTAGGCAGGCAGGTGGTCTACCCCTTAGTTTTGGGTGTCTTGGGTAGCGGTGCCAGGCAGGTTTCTCCCTCGGGGCTGGAGGTGTCTCATGTAGGTGGTCATCTGTCTCCCCTTAGTCATTGGGGGTCTTCAGGTAGTGGGCAGGCAGTTTTCCCCTTAGCTGGAGGGTCTCAGCTCTAGGGGCAGGATGCGGTCCTCCTCTTAGCTTGCTTGGGGTCTCACCTTTGGGAAGGGGCTTCATGCAGAGCGCAGCAGTGAAAGGGGATGCCTAGAGCTGGCGGAGTGCCCGGACCCCGCCGGGGACCGTGGCACCCCCGGATAAGCGATGGCGTTCCAGTGACAGTGAGCAGGCAGAGGAAGAGAGAAGTGAGCCTGGTCTCAGTGCGCTGGCCTTTTTAAAAGCCGCACGGGACACTTCCGGGGTTGCCCTGGCAACGGCCGGACCTTTTTCCCAGCGCCTGCGTTTGCCATAGAGCAATTGAGGCACGCCCCCTTGACTCGGGCCTCGCTCTCGTGACTGCCGCCTTGTCACATGGGGGAGCGCAAAGCGCAGGAAGCCCTGCGCCCACCGGGGTGGCGCACAGTAGACCTCCCAGCGGCCCCCTTGCCAGGGTCTCCTGGCGAGGGGGGGTCACAGTTGGTCCCCTCCCCTCATCCTGCACAGCCTGCTTCAAGGCCTTGAGTGCGGCATGGGGGAAGGGAGCAAGGCGGGCACACGTGACAACTGAGTCCCACCTCTCATCCTGGGTGGTTCAACTTCAAAGAGCCGTGACAGGATGAAAGGGGGGAGAGGTGGGGGAAGCTGCATGTGAGGAGAGAGGAGCAAGCCTGGCAACACCATGACAAGGCCTATCTGCTGACAGCCTTAAGATTTACTACTGTTCCGGGTCTCTGGGCTTCAGCAAAATAGCAGTCTCCCAGCAAGAAAAAAAAACAGGGATAATGCTAGAGGCAATTTACAGCACACACTTATATTGGTAGCATAATTATTCCATGTGGAACATATGTTCCTTGCTAAAAGAACATTATTTTTTTTATCAAGTTTGGTATGGGTAAAAGTTCCGCTTTAAAGTAGAATTCCAGGTTGAAACCTAACTGGTCCTGAAAATGAAAGAAAGATCTATATACTTACCATATTTTTTAACCAGTCACATTATCTGGCTCTTCTGTGTCAGGCAGCGGCAGCAGCAGGAGAGAGTAGGTAGCACTGACAACCAATGAGCCATTGAAGCCTATGGGTCACAGCTTTGAGACATTACCTGTCACTGTTGAGTGCTCTCTCCTCCTCTCCCCTGCAGCTGCCACATGGCTGACATGGGGAGATCATATGCCAGACCAGATTTTTATGTCTTAGTCTGGGAACCTGCATGGATATCTTTCTTTTACCAAAACGCATGGTGAAACACAGTTTTGAACATGGTCAGGCACCTCTTTTTCGCATTTCTCATTGCATCTCATTGTAGTTACTGGGTTAAGCTATGCTCTCACATCATATATGCTGCGGGGAGCATTCACAAAATTGCACATTTATCTGCAACGCACACTGCAGATTCGTTAATGTGCTTTGTCAAAATGCAAGGTGCACACAGCACGTATGAATTTTGGTGCTGAAATGACTTCTCGAAAGGGTCAGGGACTTGTTTTGTATTTAAATGAGGTTTTTATTAACTTTATGTAAACAAATTTAACAAGAAGGATTAGAGCAAAAGACATACGTCCCACACAGGGGACTAATCAATGGTACATAAAAAAATAAAGAAACAGTACTGTAATTCCAACAATGGCAAGAGGCGTGGCCACATAGGGGCTATCAGTAGCACATAAAATACAGAAACAGTGATATAAACACCAACAAAAAATTTTCCAGCCAATGGCAAATATCTATCACCTCACGTAATGAAACAAAAAAAAAAGAAAGAGGAAAAAAGAGTAAAGAAGGAAGAAGAAAAACAAGACCAGAAGCAGTGATCTGGGAATGGCCATTACCATTCATAAAACCCAGACTAGCCGGGGGAAGTGTGGGTATAAAAGCATAAGTCAACCACGGCTCCCATATTTTAATCAAAAATATTGTTCATAAGCATCATACGGTCCCCGCACCCCCTGCAGAGGGACAGACGGGCTCTTCC